TCGTAAGTATACGATGAAATATTATATAACGAGCGAACTGACTGATACATCCAGAAGCAAATGTAATATTATTAAGAGAGAAACATATAAACAGTAAAATTTATTTAATTCTTCCAGATCACATGGCAGATTGATTTTACCTGAAAATACCTATATTATTATCGTGCTTTTAACCCTTCCAGTCCTGGATGTCTTTTCGGAGATGATATACAGAGCGTAAGCGAAATATTTTACGTTCTATCTACTTCTTCGACGACGTATATTAGATAGTCTTTTTGAACTTAACTTGATCATCACACGTGAGTCTTTCAGAGACAACCAGTGGCAAGGTGCGCGTGAATGGTTGACTGAGGGTATAGCAGTTAGTAGAAAGAATAGACATCCACACCCTCAAGAATTCGGATGGACAAATAACACTTAATGGTTTGCATGAAATTACCAGTGATGTGTTAATTGCTTTCAATGAATTAGATAGTTGTTTACAATACATAGAAAAGATAAAACAATAGGAAATATTTCGTATTGTTGATGGAAAATTATTTGAAAATATCTTTCAATTCATACAATTATTCCATTCTATTGATGCCATTTGTATATTTAAATTTATTGAATAATATCAAAGTTAAAGGTGAGATATATAATCAAACTTTCAGTCTATTTTTCTTTTTTGAGAAGTTTAATCAGAGGGCAATGCCTACTTATTGTTCCACTCAAAAGCCATTGTTTTCCTATTAGAACATCTTGAGTGTGTGGGTGTGGACATTGTATTGTTCGTCCGCCTATGTCTGCAATCATACTCGACCACCCTCATTTAAGTTTTTTTTAAATACTGAATCAATTTAATAACATGTATCTTCAATTTTTTTTTGTTTATTACAGAATCTACTGAACAATATATTTTTTTCATCTTTTTTTTTATAATAAAAAACTTCAGTTGATTTAACATTAGATAAATATATTTAAAAAGAAAAGAACAAGACAAATCCCAACTAAGATTGAATAAAAAAAAACGAAGATATTTTATTTTTGTAGAGATGAAATGCCTTTAAAGCCAGTTTTTTGTGTCATATTGATCTTATCACCCATAGATAAAGCCATGCCTTGACTTTTTGCTCGAATACGAATATGTCCAGTAACAGGTGCATCGGCATGTATGGCTGATTTTTCGATACTAACATTAGCTAAAACATCTTCACCAAATATTGATTTAGCATAAAGATTTGCTGCCATAAAACCACAATCACCTAATAAAGCTTTTTCTGGTGTTAAACAACGCATATTTGTTGATTTTAATAAATAAGTTAAATAAAGATGAAGATCACGTATTGTTGTATTAACAACAATTTTATTTTCCCATTCAAATTCAATCCACATTTGACGAAATTCATTATCTGTACATGTACCTGATACGATATAATCCATAATATCAATATGTATATCATTTAATACAACACAATTACGATCCGATTGTGAACCAGTTACATCATATACAATATTACCAAAAATAATACCATTTTCTGTTGATGTTACTTTTATATTTGCTTTTATATTTGTAAAATCATGTGGTGCCATTGTTATTGATTGTGGTTTTTCAACTAATTTCAAATCACCAAGTGTAGCTAATTCAAGTGTGAGATTTTGTAATGTATCTGATGTTTGATTAACAATAAGTACATCAAGAACAATATCATATTGATTAACATTAACATAAGCTTCAGCATAAACTGGATCACTAAAACCTGTTAATTGTGTAACTTTACTAAGTTTTGATGAACTAAATATATCTTCATCTTTCTTTCCAGCTGTTCCAATAGCTTGTCTAAGTGTTAAATCAAGTATATCTTCTTTTTCATCAAATTCATTTGCTGCTAATAATTGTGTAAAACGAATTGGATCATCTGGTTCGATTGTTGTTGTTTTTCCTTTTGATAATTTCTTTTCCATATCTTTTTGTTCTTGAGCTTTAATCATTAACATATCAGCAAGTGCTGTTCGACATTCTTCTCCAAATATTTGAAATGTTATTGGTAATCGTTCATTTAATAATCTAATACACATTAACATTCGATCATGATCATCTTCATTCATAGGTTTTGCTGGTAAATTAGTTCGACCTAAATGTAATATACTTGCAATAATAAACATCGCTTCAGCACAAAAACGATTTTGTCTTGTTGTATCAGATTCTAAATCCAGATAACGTATAACTAATTTACATAATGATGTTGCTAATGCAGCACCAATAAAAAAATCTCCATCTAATAAGAATGTTCGTAATGATGGTTGACGATTACGATCATTACTTTGACCACTAAGCGTATTTTTTTTATCTCCTTGTGAAGGTGACATAAATGCACTTTGTGTTGCATATGTACCATCAGCTGTAACTAAACGTTGAACTGGTGCTGACATTGAAGTATCTTGTTCATCTTTTGTTTCACCTGCTGCACGACGAATTTCATCATCAACAATTGGTAAATCACCAAGAGATTGTCGAATAAATGTCATAACATTTTGAATATCTTCAGCTGATGAACAATATTCACCTAATAACCATAATGTTGCACGTAAAACTTTAACTGATTTAATTTGTCCACAAATATCAAGTAAACGTTGAACAATAAGATCTTTTAAGTTTGTTAATTTTTGCATAACATCACGTATAAAAACAAGAACATCAAGTGCAGCTAATTCATTTTTATCAGCAAGAAATTCAATCAAAACTGGAATGATTGTATTAGCAACATCAGGAAATTTCATTGTACATTGATGTAATGTTCGAACTAATAATTGTTTATATTTTTCTACATCTTCAGTTTCTTGTGCATTATGTGTTTTCGAAACTTCTTTTTTTAAAACTAATACCATTTCATTGATTGATTTTGATGTAACTAAATCATAACTTAATGATAAAGTTTTTTTTCGTACTTCGATATCTGGTGATGCTAATACACGAAGAATATCCATAACTAATTCTTGTAATATACGTTCATGTGCAGCAATATCTTTCAAAGCAATTAAACGATCGAGAACAATTAATTTAACATTATTATCGCTTTCCTAAATGAAAAAAAAAACATAATTAGTTGTTCGAATGTGTGACTATTAAACCTATAAATGATGCTTCAAGAGAATCATGTCTGCTCATCATCCCTCTACAATCTAAAGATATTTACCTTAATAATTAAATCAATATAACAAGCACTTGCTGCTCTAACGGCTGTTGGTGCACTTGATAATGTAATTAATGTTCCAGCGGCTTCATAACGTACGGCTTGTGAAGATGAATTTAATAAGTTATAAATGCATCGAATAAATCTTGCACGTTCATTTGGATTACTATGACAAACTTTATAAATAAGTTCTACAATAACTAATTGTAAAATATCACCAAATGAATTAACTTGATCAATAACATTTGATAAATAATTTAAAGCACGTTCTTGATCAACATGTATAAGCATCATAAAAGCATTACGACGACATGACATATCTTGTTCAACATCCAAGAATTTACCAATTAATTCTGGTGCATCCGGAATAAGAGAATCAAAATTTTTATAAATTGTAAATATAGCTAAAACAGCATTACGACGTACGTATGCATGACGATATTCTAAACAAGCTCGTATTGATGGCATTAATGGTTCAAGTAATTCAGGTTCTTTAAGTTTACATAAAAATCGAAGTGTTGAACCACGAATAAATTCATTTGGATGTTGAAGATCTTTTCGATATGCATCACAAACAAGAATCATTTCTTGAAGAAGTTTACCATCTCCTGTATGTTTTGGAACAATTTCCCAAAATATAAGTAATAATTTTTTTATTGCATGATCTGAAGACGGCATTACATAACGAATTATAATCATTAATAATGATGGAAATTTTTCACCATTAAGCATCATTACAATTAATTTTTTTAATGCTTCAGCTCTTACTTTATCATTGCCTTTTTCAAGATCTTCACGTAACTGCATTTCAGTTGGTGCTTCCAGATCTTGACTGGTATTTATCAATGTATAACAAGGTGGTTCGGCAACAGTCATCTTACTTTTCTTTTTCTTTTTATATCTAAAATAATTTTTATTCTATTATAAATTTATAATACTACGATCGTACATGACTTTTTTTCTAATCACAACTATAAATGAAAATCCTTAAAAAAAAACAATATTTATTTGTTGTTGGTATTAATCATATAATAATATGCCGTTGACGTGGATCGTTTATAAGAACCAATACAATAAAATGTATCATGATAGATGTCACTTACGAACAATCATATGAATTGTACGATAGACTTCAGAAAATAATAATGAACTGTCGTTTTTTGATTTATCGCATCAATAATTTCTTTGTAGTTTATTCAAATGATAAAATTTTACAAAATAGACAATTTGTATACCGAGTAAATTTTTTTTTTAATATGTGAATAAAGCTATGAATAGGTGAACAGAAAGTTCATGCTTTTTATTCTCTTTGGAAAATGAGACAGACATAAACGAACAGTTTTATAATATCATTGTCTAACAAATAATGAGTAAAATTGAAAAGTTCTACAAAAGTTTTCAAGATCATTTTTTATTCTAATGTTAGTAACTGTCATTACACCAAGCTATGGAGCATCACTTGATAATGATAGATAATAAATTAGAGTTGAGATGTATGAAAAGTAATCATTTAATCTTATGCTATGATTAGTATTGAAATAATATCAAAGCTGAACATATTGATCAGTAGAAGAAATTAATTATAATAATACGTCAACATTGAACATATTTAATGAAACAATTTAAAATACAATTCATATTTCCTATGGACAGTGTTATTCGCTAAACATCAATGCCTGTTAGTCATTGATATGAATAGTATATATGACAATGTAGTCGATCAACCATATCAATTTTTTTCTTACTTCGCCTATATAAAATATATACCAACATGATGAATATTTTCAACCTTCATAAATATTGAAACGAACACTTTCTATTTCAACAATGAACTGGTTATTAAAAAGAAAAAAGAAGAAAATTAATGATAAATCTTCACATATTGAAATCTATCACAATATTCAGTTTCCATTAGATGATATACTTGCTGTTCTTTATCCACTATTTGGTGCATATTATCCTTACGATGAATTTATTTACATGATATATACAACTAATCATATTTTTTGTGCCTATGATAAAATAAAAAATCTTTGTATTGGATGTGCATTACTCAATAATGCTGATGCAAATGGAGGTCTTTATGTAATGTTATTTGGTGTACTACAAACAAACCAAAGTCAAGGTACAGGCACACATTTGTTAGAGTCTGTTATTAATTGGGCACGTCAAACAGGATATAAATATATATTCTTAGATGTACATGTTGAGAATTTTAAAGCAATTGGTTTATATGAAAAAGTTGGTTTTCTTAAAAGTAGTTTTCTACCCAACTATTATATTCGTACACCTAAACGTCCACCACATGCTATTCGAATGATTGTATCGTTACAACAATAGATAACAATTCTTATTTAAACTTGAAAATTTCTTTTTTGAAAAGAAAAAAATACTTGTATTAAATACAAATCAAATAAATTCATCATTTTTTTTTATTTAATTCATTTAGAAAGTATTAAAAATAACAAAGATAATACATTTTAGTAATTGAAAACAATAATATATACAGAAATGATGAATCCTGAGAATTGCGTAATAATTAGAGATCATTCTCATCTAATCACATATAATGTTATTATCCATTATTGGAATCTGTAAAGAGGCCATATCTTTGTAAATATTCTTGTGTTTCAAATGATAAACTTTTATCTGTAGTTCGTGGAGTTTCTGGTGGTATTGGCGATGTTGTTTGAGGTTGTCGATCACATTCAATAGCAGCTGATAATTGATAATCTTCAAGATATTTCATTTCTAAATTTTGCACTTCAATAGAAAGATTATTTTCTGATTTTTGAGGAGATATTGGAAGATTTCCATTTGGAAGTAAAGCAAATTGTGGTTGTGGATAAACAGTTTTAGTACTACTTTCTTGATTGATAAATTGCATTTGAAGACCATTAGATATAAAACTGATACCTGTAGTTCTTGTTGATGTAACATGTTTTTGCTGTTGTTGAATAGTATTAGTTGAATGAAATATATTGTCAGTTTGATGATCAATGTCTTCATTGTTTGTTGTCCTAAGTGAAGATACATCTTGTTTTTGTTGTTGATTATCAATATATTGAAAAATTGGTTTTAAAATATCAACTGGATTGAGATCATTTGGCGTTAATGAAGATGAATCATCAATCATTGGTTTATTCTGATGAGCAGTTGATTGAAACAATGATGATTGATTTTGTATAGGAGGTAACTTAACAAAATGAAGAACTATATTAGATAACTACATAGTTTATGTAAACCTACTTGTTGTTCTTGATAATGCCCAGTTTTTGGTGATACTGAATTAGATTGATTATTTTTAATTGTCAATAGTGATTCATCACTATTATTGTTTCCATAGGGTGATGATGATTGACTTTGTACAGCAGCATCTCGTTTATTACATTCTTCTATGGGTGTCGGAAACGTACTTTGTTGATTTTGAACAGTTAAAAGTTGAGAAACAATTGATGTTAATGATTGAATATGAGCTTCGTATGATTGCATTCTTTCAACTAATTCTTGTTTCCATTGATTATCAAGATTATCTGTTGATGGTTTCGGAAATGAAAATTGTTTAGATTTAACAGAAGCTGCAGGTGATGTTTGTTTATTTCGTTTGGGAGTTGTCATAGGTGAAGTTGATATCAAATCCCATGATGGTGATTGGTGTGCTGATGGTGTTGGTGGTACACGAGGAAAACCGAATATACTTCCATTCGTATTTGGTGATGAAAGTATTGTTTGATAATTATTTGAATACGTTTCTGTAGAAGCTCGATTATTTACAGGTGTTTGAATAGAAGCAGAAGTGTTTTCTGAATGAATTCTCAATGAATCATGATTTGTTTTTGATTCATTTTGAACACGTTTAAATTCAAAATCATATGGAAATAGTGTACTACAATTTGGTATAACAATTGTTTTTGAGCATGTCCATAAATCATACTCAATCGTTACTGATGATGGAGAATTATTTGTTATTAAGTTAACTTCATAAAAAGTACATTGACCGTATGATGTTGATAAATAACATGCAAGTAAAAAGGATTGTATTCCAGAACGAATGCAATAACGAATACAAGTTGCAAAAACAAATGAACAATGAATATCGGTTATACCAGATATCCAACTAAAATAAATAATGACAATAAAACTTAGAATAGATACTTTTTGTTTTTCTTACATTCCAACTAATGGTAAGGTATATGCTTGTGGATCATTCTCAAGTATTAATAAAATTTTATTTGTTGACATTCGATCTAAACTACAATAACCAAAATGTGGTTGATTTTTATAAATATTATTTCCAGTTGATGAATTAAGATTATTTAATAAAGCAGTTGGTAATATATAAATATGATTAGAACTAATTGGTTTTAATATAAAAGTATTTTTTATTGTTACGAGATCAAATGATAAATCGATATTGATCGAAGATGAATGTCTTAAAAACATTTGACCACACAAATAAGAAAATCGATGTAATTCAATTGGTAATGAAGAGCGACAATAGATATCAACTTCCTATAACAAGAAAACTTAGCTAAGAATTATAACTAGAATCTTACATTCATTCCTGTTTGTATCAAAGTATTTAATGTTGATGAAATGTTTCTATTACATTGTATAGGTATAAGAAATTCACTAGTTAACAATTGATGATTATTAATTTGATCGGCTATTAATAAACGATCAATAACATAGATTAAACGTTGAGATTCATCATCGGATATTAATGTTCCAACAAAATATATTATGGAATGATTTTGTAAACGAATTGCTGAACGTAATACTTTATCTTCAATTATTAATTGTGGTGATAATTGATCATATTGACATAAAGAAAGATGTATTGATCGACCAATAGGTGTTGAATCCCAAAGAGATGTATTACTAGTTCCAACTGAAGTCATATAAGAAGTCATTCTTCATTTTAAATCACATCTGTAAAGAATAAAAAGTTGAATGAGAAAAAATAAGTTTTTTTTCTTCTATTATTTACTCTCATACTTCAAATGTCTAACATGAGAATTACTATGATACTCAAATGATAAGGATTTGTAAAAGATACAAGGACTTACTTGAAAACGATTTCATCAACAAACGTCTCATTATCATGTATACATGATAATATTAAATTAAATAACATGAAGCATTTATTCATAATTTTATTTTAAATTAAAAAATATCATTATTTAAATCTTCAAATTTTGATGTATATATAAATCTAGTAATAAAAGTATTTTATTTATCTGCAAAAAAATGGATAATCATCTCAACTGTATCTTATCTTTTTTGTGTTTTAGATAACTGAAAGACATTCTTACAAACAAAAAATATAGTTTCCTGAGATACAAAAAAAAAAGAAAGAAAGAAAGTAAAGGAATTTGAGAAATAGAATAGAGAATATTTTCTTATATATTGTTCGTCTGATTGAATAAATTCTATTGCATCTTATGTTTTTTTATTTGACTGTTGAGAAATAAGATTTGCATTTGTTACACCAGTAAATGAATTAAATCCATTTGGTATTTGCTACAGATATATATATATATATAGTCTAAATATATACGAATATATATTATTACTTACAGAATTTATCGATGAAAATGTATTGGATTTATCAGAATGATTAGAAGAAGGTGGTATAAATGGTAGAGGATAACGATGTGCATTTGGTTGGAATGTCGAAGCAATATTGTTCAATAAACTTCCTGAACAATGAAGAACAAGAGAGAATAGTATACTTGAATAATTTCATAAGAACATATAATAGACTGATTCAGTATATTTCTTTAGAAGAGATCACTCTTTTTTTTCTTCTCCTCTATTAATTGCATTCTGATACATTTTAGAAGATATTCTTTTTTTTTCTTTTTTTTCTCTCAATCTTTCTCAATTTAAATATAACATATGACAACTTAAGTATGTTTAGAAAAAAATTAAATAATTAACAAACACTCTAACATAATCACAGAACTAAGGAATTTGTATGATGTAATATTTGGAAAATTTAGCGAGCGAAAAAAAAAACAAATTAAAAAAACAACTCGAATGATATATATTAATTCCTTATCACCATCCTGCATCAGTAACCATTCTAGTACCATCATAGTCACCACTTGAATTTAAATTATTATTGATATTACAATTTTGTGAATATGGATTTGCATTTGGATGAACACCAGCACCTGTTTCATTTGGTAATCCATTCCAATATTGTTCAGTTGGTGATTCATGAAATTGTCCAGGTGGAACTTGCACCGGTGCATTTGGATATCTAAATTTCAACAAAAAAGAAACAAACTGATAATTATAATAATAGTATAAATGAATTCAAACCTAAAATATGGATTTTTAAGATCAAGTATATTTTCAACAGATATATTTGTTCCTTCAATTTCAAGACGCATTTCCACATCATAACTTTGTCTAATAAAAATAAAAGATATTTTTATATTTTTTTTTGTATTAGAATTTTTTTTACTTTCGATTTGCTTTTAATATAGTATGTCCACTAATCGTTTGTCCTTGATTAACTGTAAGTGGTTTAACAAATAAACAACGAACTTGATACCAATGTGTTAATGGTTGAGTTGGTGCCGTTGATAACCATACTTGAGAACTGAAAGAAACGGATAGTTTTTTTTTATTATTAATATAAGTTTTTTTTAAAAATAAACCTTGTTCCATCAAATGAAACATCAAACCAAAATGCTAAACCATGTACAACAGCTGTTGTTGTCATTTCAAATGATACTGGAATATTCATTTCATATAAATCTTCTTCAGCTGCTTTTAAAAAATCGACTGTATATTTAATTGGTTTAGCTAAACAAATTCGGACATCAAAATTATCAACAATTGGTTGTTTAAAATATTCATCGATGGCAGCATCACGTAATGTTGTTAAATCAACACCATAAAATGATTGTTGATACCAAAAATTTGCTTTACCAACTTGTTCCATAAATAAAGCTTCATCAGTAAATGGTGTTACATAAAGATCACCTGTTGTTGGAAACATTTTACCATTTGGTTTAAGGAATTTTTTTGCATGAATGTATGATTCTAACATACGTTCATTATATAACATATAACCCATTGGTTCCGATATAATAACATCGACCATTTCTGGTAATTCAATTTCTTCAATTTTACCAGGTACGATTTGAATACGATTGCTTAAATGGTTATTTTCAATAAGAATCTAAAGATATAATATTAGAGATTTTAATACATTAAAAAATATATTCTACCTTAGCATGTTCAGCCATAGTACTTGCTTCAACAGCATAGACTTTACGTGCACCAGCTTGAGCAGCAAAAAATGAAAGAATACCTGAACCAGCACCAACATCAAGAACAACCTAAAACAACAACAACAAAAAAATGAAATTAAATATTTTTAAAAAGTAAAGAACAAACTTTGCCAGCAAAATCAACAGAATTATCAAGAATAGCTCGTTGATATGTTGATGTACGAATATAATCTTGCATCATATTTTGTTGTTGAGATAAATAACCATAAAACTAATTGATGAATAACAAATTTTTTTTTTAGAAATACTAAAAATATAATTATTCTACTTGAAAATATTGTTCTGCTGATGCGTCTTCTGTTCGTTCATTAAATTGAGAATTTCCATTATCATCGAGATCTTTACCAGATTTAATTAATCCAAGAACTTTATTGAAATTGAGTGCATCTATATAATAAATAAATGTAGATTCAATATTTCGTCTATCAAGATAGTTAAACTAGTTATGAATAACTTCGAAAATAGAAAATTCTTCTATTTTGTTTATCAATTTTATTGATCAGTACATTATATTATTTTGATAACAATCTTATATTACTCATCTTTATATATCATTTTTTTTCTAATTAAGAATCATCAAGTTTTCATTGAATTTACCTTCTGAACTAGAGAATTTAACTAAATATGAAAGATGTTTTTGTTTCGGTAAACTAATAATAATTCCTGATGAACCAGATCGAAGATGTTCAACTGATTCATCTACAGAAATTGTCGGTACATTTGATGAATCTAAATGTAAAAAAAAATTAATTTTCTTCTTATTATTATTTCAAAATTAAAATCTTACCTCCTTTAACAAGAATAGAATAAGATTTTTCAGAATTCTTCTTTATTGATAAAGTATTTTTAGTTTCTTTTCGATCTTTTGATTGTGGTCCATCCAATGGTATAACTTCGACATCCGAATATTCATGCATCATCAATCGTTTCTTCTGTAATATTTTTGGTATATTCGTTTAAAATAAAAATGATAACTAATAGGTAAAAAGACGATGACGAGCAAACAAATGGTGTTCAGTCGACCGGCACATGTACATATATATCTATATGCAAAATATTCTTACGTACTCGTATTGACAACACGAACAGTTACGTATAAAATTAGAAGCACGATGCGGAACGAATAGGTCGATGAAAGAAAGAGAAGATGAAATGTTCCAGATGAGTAATTTTGAGCAAAACCATGACTTTCACTTCACACCTGTACCTAAGTGTGAAATTATTTAACCAATTAGAATTAAAATAAAATTTTTAATATCTTTTATGAAATTTCATATAGATATAAAGAAAAAAAATGTAAAATAAAATAAAAGTATAAATCATATTTGAAAAAAAGAATATTATTTTATAATTTGATAGATGTCAGTCAAAACAATAAAATTTTATAGAGGAAGAAAAGAATAAACTCAATATGGTGTATGATGTAGATAGAATTTCTACATCTTTCTCTCTCCTTCTCTCTCTAGTCTTTGTTCATTATAATAAAATATTCATTTATAATTATATTTCCTTTTTCAGACCACCAACATGGATCCGATGTTTCCTGGTGGTCAACCACAATTTATTTTTGTTCCACCTGGTTC